TTGATGAACCTTGTTGCTTTAATTTATTTTAGTTGGTTTCACTTTACGATTTTACTTTACCTTTACAAATGCTTTATTTTCTGTACAATAGATTTACACGTGGTCTATTGAGACTTATTTAAACTATGTACGATGTTAACATTAGGACGTCAGGACAACGAGAGAGATTATTTGTTATTATTTGTAGAATTATTTGTCTATTTTCTCTGGCCCTTACCCTCTCTCTTAAATTTGTCTAAAAATGTTGCATGTCCCTCTACTTGGGTCAGAGTGCAACATGCTTTCTCACTTACTCTTATGTTCTATTATTCATCTATGTGTTTGTGTATACGTAAGTGCATTTACGCATAGACAAAGACATACATTTGTACTGTCTACATTAATTTATTTATTAAAATCATATGAATAAATATGTACTCGAATCTAACATCTCTTTCGTTTTCTTAGATTTAATTATTTATTTGTAGAAATATTTCTGTTTTGTCGTTTTATAATTTTGTTGTATTATTTTAGAATTTAATTGTTTAATATTTGTTTATTTTTAATTATTTAACTTTCAAGTTCTATTTTTTTATTTCTTTTTCATTTCATATTTAATTTTGTTGTCTAAAAATTATTTCGGAAAGTGCAATATTAAAATTTATTTCAATATTTTTCTCAACACTAAAATTCTGTCATTAAGTTATTCTAAAATCTTTTGGTTTAAAATAAATCTTTTATCTTGTTCTTTATCATTACTTAAGTATTTCTTATTTTAAGTATAAGTGAGTTTGCTTACGTATAACAAAACTCCCATTTATCTATTTAATCTCTTTAAAATACCTGGGCCCTCAGACTAATTACGGGAATTTCCCTGGGCCTTTTGCAAAGATCGAACGAGACACTTAATGACCACACTCGAATTATCTTTTACAATCGTTAAAATTTAAATAAAATTATACTCGATTTTTTATAATTAATAAATATGTAAAGAAAAATTTCTTTACATAACAGGAGTGACCTCTTAAAAATTTTTTTTTGAGCTGTCCTTTGGTGAGGGTTCTTAAAACATCAAAATCTAACATTTTTTCACTCGAGACTAAAAAAAAAAAAATAGTCGGTTTTTTTGCGCCACCCTAATATATAATTATATATAATCTTTTTTACCCGGGAATTTGAAATTTTGCGAAATTTTTTTGTAGCGCTATATATCCTCTTTAAAACGAACTGAAGCGCTTTGTTGTAAGTATAATTGTTTTCGAAATATTTAATGAATAAATTCGAAAAATTAGAGAAGTAGTAAAAATTTGAATTTTGCATAGTTCTTGAAAAAGGTTTTTAAAATTTTTTCCCTTTGGTAAAACTTCGTTTTAGGATTACCGAAAACTTCCTACCGAATTTCATCAAAGTTAAAAGGAGTGAATTCCAACCATTGGTCGATTTGATATGGAATGACCCATTAATTTTTTTTTTTAATTTACTTCTCCGTTGTTGCCTTTCGACTTTGAAACATGTAGTGGGATTTTTACGTCCGTTCCTATTTTCTCACTTTTCTTCTGACCTGAGGAGGGATATTCTCAGTGATGTTTGTCTACCTCCTTTGTAGCTATTGGCGACTTACAATTATTGTACCCGCATTTACCTGTACCTTGCCCTAGTACAGTGACCAGAAAAACCACAGACATTAGTCAAGATACAGCCGGCTACCGATCAAAGCGTTGTAACCGCCGAAAAAAACGGTGTCTCGGAAATTCGAGTCTCGCCTCAAGCCTGTTGTTCGGGCAAGCTAAGCACTGAAATCGGTTGGCCAACAAGGATCTTTGAATGAACCATTCATATAAATAGTTTGAATATGGATAGAGTTGAAATATTTGCAGCTTTGCAAAGTTATCCGATTCCTGTTAAGGAAGCCATTTTTATCATCTACTGTACATCTAAATTTTGATCAAATTTGTTCAAACTCGATCTTATTTAATCAGAACAGATCCAAAGTTTTTGTATTAATCAAATAATTTTATCTAGTCGAATCTCGTTTTGCCAGAACAGATCAAATTAAATTTATCAATATCTGTTCCGTACCTAAACTTTGATCAAATTAAATCTGATTTGATTCAATTTGATCAGCGTAGATCTAGACTTTTTCCGGGAAGATGACATTTTTTTTCTGTAGGAAATGTGTAACAATAAATATTGTCATTGAACAGCTCCTTCACCGCACCATAATTAATGTCTACTTCCACCCTGGTTTATTGCTTGTACCTTATTAACTGTTAGATAATCCTTAATTTCTATAATGACCAAAAAGAAAAAAAAATTGATTCATCATTAACTATTTAGTATGAATGCTATTCAAATAATTAATACACATTAATTTTTCCATTGTTTTTTTTTTTTTTTTTTTCAGGTTCACGATAGTGTATTTGATAGACCTCATTGTTTTCAATTGGTTGAACGTGCTCTTCCTTGCTTAGCTACCATTACATATTTAGCTGCACCTAATTCTGAAAGTGCGCAAGACTGGATAAATGCATTAAAACCTCTATGTGTATCTCAGTTAACGCGCGCACCTAAAATTGCACGCTTACGGGAATTACGATCACTACATCTGAATATTTTGGATGCTCACAGACTTCCTTATAAATTAGTTCCAAATCCATTCATCATAGTGGCTCTTAACAATGTTAAAGTAGCACGTACAAAAGTTAAAACTTGTTTACATCCATTATGGGACGAAGAATTTTTATTAGAGTACGTATGAAACCATTTTCACAATATATACTTAGAGTTTAGAGATACAAAGATGTAAGTAACAAAACAAAAAATGACATGATACTGGTTTTGATTTAATTAGGGCGATACTCATCCTAGTCTCAAATCATCGTGTTTTATATTTTACTACCCTATACATTATTTTCTCAAAATAAAAAATTGAGAATCAATTACATTCAGTTAGTGTGGTTATGAATATGAATTTGCTCAATAATGATTGCATGCCTTAAGCGCGATGGCGCGAAGGCATATCTCTACTGTGGCCTAAAAATCAAGTTTCCTATCTCGTCAAGAGAAATTGTATTTTTAATCCACAATCCTCGTACAAATGTTTAAAAAAAATACACTGGTGGCAAGAAGAATGATTACTGAACTAATTAACCCTTCAGTACCCACGTTCTTTTTAGTGTCTCACTTGCACTGCAGCGACATCCTATAAGT